CTACCGGCATTGACAATACCCTTTTGAAATGAGGCCGAACCGCACACTCTACATTCAAGCTCCCGCTGAAACGCCACCGATGATAATAACAGCATCGGTAGTGTGTCTAAACAGAGCAATACAGGAAAATTGATGCGTGAATGCTCATTAATAGTCTGGGACGAAGCTACGATGTCAAACAAGACGTCTGTGGAAGCACTGGATAGGACAATCCGCGATTTGCGCAACAAAAATTCACCTATTTCCGTCAAATCTTACCAATTGTGACTCGAGGAAGATCGAGGGGGTATAATATGAGGGGTTCGTCATCTTCACGTAAGAACAGGCTATATCCAGAGATGCTGCTAAGAGTTTGCAATGGAGAGTTAATACAAAGAGAGGGAAGGATCAACCTAGAAAACCTTTGTGTTTTGATAGACAACATCCAAGAGTTAGTCAACAATGTCTATCNGGTCGATACTGTTCTCGATTTGGAAGAAGCTGTTCATTTTCCTACAGAATTTCTAAAATCTTTGAACCCGTCTGAACTCCCTCCTCACAAAATGGTGTTGAAAGTAGATTGTCCTGTTATTTTATTAAGAAACCTGAATCAACCTAAACTTTGCAACGGCACGCGTTTCCTGGTAAAATGAAACTGAAAACTTTCATAATAGAAATAAAATGTGGTACCGGAGAAGCTGTATTGATCCCTCTGATACCATCGGATTTACCCTTTCAATTTAAACGTTTACAGTTTCTGGTATAGGCTTAGATGCAGGCTTAGATTTAAGCGTTGTCTGTTTTTCACATGGCCACCTGTATGTCGCTCTATCAAGAGTCAACTCTAGAGAAAACATGTTTGCACTGTCTAATGACAAGAAAGCTGTGAACGTTGCATATAAAGACATTCTGTAATATACTAATTGTTGTAAAAGTAAAATAAATAAGTAAACATTTAAAAAGTAAATAAGTAAAAATGTAGTGCACGAATTTCGATATTCCTAAGATAGCAGGAAATCTTCTTGATATAGGGAAAGGGGAATAATTAAATCAAAACTGCTAAATCAATTTTAATAATATTTTCAGTGAGTGACATAGGCTATATATTATATTTTATACCCGTGCGAAGCCGGAGCGGGCCGCTATGTTTTTATAAACAACGTTCACAGTTTTTCTGTAGTTTATCAGCATTGCACCGTGAGAAACCGGGATGGGTCTCTAGTCTGATATATATAAAACTCGTGTCAGGGTGTTTGTTGTCAAACTCCTCCGAAACGGCTGTACTGCTTTTGACGAAATTGATGTGCTTATCGGATAGGTCTGAGAATCGGCCAACATCTATTTTTTATACCCCTAATGTTACGGGTGGTCCACCCCAAGTAATATAATTTTTTTCCTTTTATTTATATATATTAAGATTTATATTATATATTACTAGCTCACCCGGCAAACGGTGTTTTGACATATACATATATAGGTTATTTTAGGTGATAAATATTTTTTAGGAAAGATTTTTAAAAATATGTAAGTGTTTGGGGGATATACAATAATTATAATGAAATAGGCATGTAAAGTTGTAGACAATTAAAGTATACTTTATCTAAGTTAGTAAATAATATTTTATTAAAGTAGATTTAAAAATGAGGTATGCACTGCGACCTAGGGTCTATTGTGCCCTCTTAAAGTAACAAATATATATTAAATTCCAAATATTGATAGCTATTTATGCATAGAAAATAGATCATATTTCTACTACTGATTATTTCAATTAAAAATAAATAGTGGTAGTCTGTCTTTAGCGAATACAAAGAAACTGGATGGTTTGTGCACGCGAGAAAATGTCACATATAGTTGTCCGTTGAAAAAAAATTGTGTACCCAAACTAAGCCACAAATAGACAACATTTGGTCATGTAATTTATTGATCGTCATTGCGAATGCCAATCCAATTGGAAAATGAGAAAATTTGAATTCAATTGCATTCAAATTTTGCCATTCACAATCTTGGCTTCAATAATGTTTTTCGTAAATTGTAATTAGTCATTGTCATCTTGTACCATTGAAAGCCGTAGCATATTCAATGAATTCAAAAATTTAATTGGATAATTTACAGTTTCCTTCGCGTCGATAGATTTGTATGAAACCAAGTCCTGTAACAATAACAACTGTTATATCACATCTAATCCATTGACGCTCAAGATTTTTATACTTTATTTGTACAATAGGAAATGTATTTTCGATGAGAGTATTTTGTGAGTTGATGATTGTGGAGAAATCCGTCGGTAGTTTTATGCATCCAGTATTTTCATGGACAACAACTTTTCTATTGCCAATATTTAACAGTTGTTCACTGTGTTTGAAATCACCAGAAAAAAGTAACAGAGTGCCGCCAAATACTTGTAGTATAGGGCCGTAAATAAATTTTTGTTCATCATTTAGTAGTGGAACATTGCTGATAAAGTCGCTGCCAATTCGACAGGGTCATTTTGCGCTTCATGATTTATATCTGTGTTGATTAAATCATAGCACTCCTATTTGGTGAACTCATACCGAAATGGCTGATTGGTAAATTCGCAATGACATTACGTCACTAAATGCTATCGTTAGATCCTTGCACCTTGTACGATGTCGATACAATATGTCATCAGTCAACAAATCTTTACGACTGTCGCACAACATTTGTGCTCGGTTAAGGAAACATGTTATCAGTACTAAATAGTAGAAAAATTTATGTTCCTGTGCAATTAAATGCAGCTGCAGCAAACATCTTCTAGCAATCCCAGTCCAAGTCATGCAACTTTATACGTTGGGTACTCCTGTCCATTTCGTTACTTTTATCTTGAAATTACAATGGTCCGGTGACATTAACCCACAACAGTCGCAGATAAAAGCACTCAGTTTGTTTTGGATTTACTGTATATGCTCGACCCATTTATTGTAGCACGATTTCGTTCGTGAAAAATACGCGTTGCCCGTTTTCGAGATAAAAATCTAAAGGGATAACTGCTGGATCCTGTTTATGAATTTGGAAACCGAAGATACGCCGGTGGAGCTGATAAATCGGCCAATTTGGTAATTCGTTATTTTATTATTTTTATTTATTCGAGGAGCATTTACAATAGTACTTTCAATTCTAACTTCACTTCCTTTATTCACATACTTGCAAATATATTTGATGCTCTTCATCGAACTCCAAAACTCAACATTAAAATATGTAAGTATTGAATGTTTTACTCAGCAGAGGTGAATATGGTACCACCTAACGATTGTCAATTTCAATGTCTGCGATATCGATATTTTTAGCACTAATATTGTTAAATTAACTATAAGAATAAAATTAACTTGAGAGTTGCACTGAAAAATTAAAATGATGCGTATAACTACTACGATCGAGACACAAATAAGACCAAATAAACAACTTGGACGAAAACTGTATAGAGAGGGAGAAAAATGAAGCAGGCCGGAGATACCTGAGAGAGAACTATTCATGAAAACTAAGTATAATATATGTGGATGAAAGGAATAATATAAAAAATTGCGATTAAAAATCAGGGATTGATCGTATAAAGGTGAAAATTTAGAATTGTAAGTATTTTTCAACGCTGGATTATGTAAAAACAAAAACATACAATTTTGTCCTAAAAAGAAAAAAAGTATAATAATTGGGGTGGAACACCCTTAACGTTGGGGGTATAAAAAATAGATGTTGGCCGATTCTCAGACCTACACGATAAGCACACAAATTTTATCAAAACCGGTACAGCCGTTTCGGAGGAGTTTAGCAACAAACACAGTGATACGAGAATTTTGTATATTAGATGATGCATATATCGAGGTGAATTGATAATTAAATATATAATACGGGAAATGCAGTTTACCAAGTATAAATAGTGAAAGTTGGTTAAAAACTACGTCCACCGCCCACAAAATAGTGTTCTTGCCAATAGTTTAAAAGGTATACATGTATATTAGACTTAGATATGTAATAACACATCACACAATTGAGAAATTGTAACGAAATTTCCCTAAACGAAAACCATATCCACTTAGAAGTGCATTAATCTCCGGATGTGGGTCCATATATATTTTCAGCCCCCATGTAACGGGTGATAACCTCATCTACTCTCCATATACGGTATTGTTAAAAACTGCTCAAAGTGCGATAACTCACAAAATAAACACGATACTAAATTTTACAGCCAAAATTCTACGGAATTGCTTTTTAGAAACCGGTGTCAATATATCCCACAGATTAATCAATATTTCCGGCAAAATGTTAGCAATAGGCACTGAGTTCCACATTTTCGGTATCTGGGGGCTTGAAAAGTTATAGTCCACATTTGAAAATTTTTAGACTGGAGATGATATATTTAAAAGGCACTATTTGTGTAAAGTTTTATTACGATATTTATTGGTGCTAGATTTGTATACTGACAAATGTAGTTTTAAAAAACTAATACGCTTTTAAACTATTTCAAACTTAAAAGTTAAAAATAATGCCATGTATAAACTGACAGCAATATTGATATTATTATGAGAAAAGTGTGATGTGCTCGATATACGAAAAATATGGCAAAAACCATCCCACGCCCACCTTTAAAATAAAGGAAAACTGTTATCAAAATATTGCATTGTCATCGATCCTTGACACGTGTGCTATTTCAAGTTGATGACTTCTGGAAACCAGTGAAAATTGAGCTCTAAGATTCCATTACATACATATTATATGTACATACATACAACCCAAGCTTATAAAAGCGTATAAAAAGTGAAATAATCAAATGGAACTTTTATATTTTTTTATATGAGAAGTAAGCATAGTTGTTGCCCGATTTCGCTCATTAAATATAAAAATTTAATTTTTTATTAAATTACAATTGTTGTGAGCTTAGTTATGGCACTTTATAGGGTTTCGTTTGCGTACCAAACTTCATCAAGATATCTCAATTTTTACTCAAGTTATATATTAGGGTCGAAAGAATTAAAAGTATGACTGTATTTTCATTGAAAATTCGCAGAACTCTACTATACTTTTTCAAGATACCGAATTCGATGACCTCAATGCCGATGACTGGCTTGCTTCAAAAACATAGATCGACATGTAAGATATCTTAACAAAATGAAGTCAATATATTTTATTATGTATACTGTACCTAGGTGACCTTATGCTGAAGTATCGGTCAATTTATCAGTCATGTTCACAAAATCGGCGTCCAAATCACGATAGCTATAAACCTAATATAAAAGTTGAATTCGTATGCAAAATTTTTTAATTTAAAGTTTTGTCAATGCCTGAATAATTTCCTTATACTTTAATCCTTTCAAATGTGAGAGAGAATATATACGACTTTACTAGTTTATACTTTTTTTGTTTTCAATCACTTATTTCAGATGTGGCTTACGGACCAGGCTACACGGATGTCGAAAACTACTATGATATATTTGAAGAAGCTGCAAAATTATTTCCATACAACGGAAAGTAAGAACTAGTTATACATTAGTTTGTGGAACATGTTTTGATTAAAACAATCTGTGTTGTAAATAACTGAAATAATGTGACTGGTGCGGGCAACAGAGAACTTTACATCTGTTTTTCTTACCATATTTAATTTTAAACTCTGGCTCCACTGTCTCCCTCACTTTCATATTGTAATAATTCCATCACGAGGCGTAAAAGCACAAGCCAACGTTGTAAAAGAAGGAGGGATGGATGAGGCACTCCTATTGGCTTCTAGTAGGTGACTCGGGAAGTAGGAGGAAGAACAATACCCACAGAAAGACCCATCCACCTTTAACATAGCAAAAACAATATCACAATTCAATATTTAAGGGTGAGAACTACTGCACTGTCAAGTTCAGGGCGTACCACCAAGTCATTTTGGGGTAGTGTTTATGGTGGACAGACCAAAAAGCTTCCACTTCTATTAAAAAGGGAACTTAGTAACATTGTAGCGATCATCACGGGACAGCTACCCTTAAGATCCTTCCTTCAGAAAATTGGATTCGGCAGAATGCAGAGTATGTGCGGAGAATGACGAGAACATCAGTCTATTGATACGGGTGGAAAAAATCAGTGTTTTTACCAAATCCACTGAGTTGCTGGGTAAGACTTAATTTGGTTACCACTCGGGAGTACAATGGGCCTAAGTGCGGTCACCTGTGATCCTGCGCCTCCCTTATCAATCAACTAACCAGGTCAAAATCCAATCTAGCGCCTATGGTGTTTCAGGGTTTTTATGTCTGCCATTTCATATTATTTTCGGGGATCCATTACTTTTAATTGATTTCGTAAACGTCAAAAAAAAATATCTTATTTCCTAATGTCATTTTCTTATACCCTTATCTACCTTTGTCCGACTGTCTGTCTGTCTGTATATACACGTATGTACCAGACTCTCAGTTTATCGACCTGATGTCGATCGACCTTGTATGGTACCTTTTTTATTTGACAAGGTATCTTCACAAAATTCAGCATGGATTATCAGGTATCGCTAAAATATCCGAAAATATGGTTCAGATCGGACCACTATAGCATATAGCTGCCATCTAAACTCATCAATCAAAATCAGGATATAGACCCTTTTACGCTTTAAAAAATGACCCTAAGAAGGGTAGCCGAAGTTAACGTTTTTTCTTGTTTTTAATATCCAAACCATCGAAATATAAACAAATTTATATAACATAAGCAAATGAAAACTATATTTTTATTTTTTTCGTCTAGGCGTTCATCACGTATACATGTTTTCCGGCGTGGTTGCATACCTCGCGGCGGTGCTTGCGATAGTAGGCCAAATGGCTGCTGCTACAATAGTTCGTGTCGCTGCAATCTCTGGGGCAGCAATTGTCGTTGTCAACGCATGGGACTCTTCCAGAAGTGGGGCTAAGCGCCAAGATATACGATAAAGACTTCAACCTACCTACAACCAATATCCGGTTAATATTAAAAACTTTAAACTAGTTTATTTACTAATACCAAAGATTTCTTGCAACTGTTTAAACATAACCCAGTATATAGCAAAAATTATTTACTTAACAAAAGAAAACACTTAAATGGTAATATGGAAATGCTATCAACATACAAGCCGTGTAAAGCCAGCAGCGTTACAGAACTGAACAGAAAAAAGTAAAACAATTTGTGTAAACACTAGTGTAATTAGTTATTAGCTCCAGCAAATATAGCCAATATACTTGTATGTATGTAAACAAAACTAACACATGCAAAAAATGTTTGTATGTATTAAATAACATAGTACAAATGTTACACATTTCAAATAACCGATTTTAGTTAAAATTGCTTTGTTCGGAAATGTATTAAGTCTTGATGATGATGACAATTTGTAAATACCTTTGGTATTTTTGCGATTTTAGAAAGAAAGGTTTGTAATATTGAATAAGATGCTTTCCTTTTGAATAATATGTAGGAAAAGAAAATTAGATTCACAATAATTTTTAATTTTTTAATGTAAATATTTTCGTGCGAGATATAAAATGGGAATGCCTTACATATACTGTTTATTTAGTAGAGAGCAACGGTCGAAACTTCACGTCTGCTCACATAGTACATATCATATATAAATGTTATGTGGCGTGGATATAAATTTCTCCTCCGAAAAAAGCGCATTTCACCGCAATTATTGGCAGTCTGTTTGAACAAATATACCATTAGTTTTGCCGATTTGCTACTCTCTAATGAATTGAGGATACATAAAAGTAATTTAACGTACAGAGTTGATACAGTTTTAAATTAGTAAAAAGATTTACTATTGTTATACTATGTTAATGAAAATTTATCATGGCTAGCCCTAGGCATCTCTCATACACACACACGTGCCGGCGTTGATAAACATCTACTTCAAACAATTGACTATTCAATCATACGAAATAGCCCAATTAGACACATAGCCCAACTATCTCTGAATCCAATCGCAACCAGGCCAGCGATTTAATAGTGTTTGTTTTTTATTGTAACTTCGATTAATTTTTGAGAAATTAACTGCAAGAAATATGCTATTTCGTTTCCCGGAATTCTTTTGTGGCCTGGAACCCAGTATATTAGTATGCAGCCAATTTGCGGCAGGCACTACGTCTATTATTATTGATCTCCTTTACGTTCTTTCCTGCATTATTAGGTATCTCAGCCGCTTTCTTAACAGCAAAGACTTTCGCCTGAAAGACACTGCAGTATTCCAGAAACTTTAAGGGAACCTGCTCACTACATTGGTATATATTAATAAAAAGTATAATAATAGAAATTTAAAAGGTCAATGCAACACCTAATTTGTCGCCATTTTGGAACACAAATTTTTATTTAACTTAAATAAATTCAAAAGAAGAAGTGAAGAGAGCAAATGAGTTATAAATTTGGACGAAAAACCAATACCCGGTAGAGAAAGATACCATTAATCAAGGCGCTTGGTTAAACTTATCATCATATCATTGTAGAATGGACATCTAATTTCAGATTATCAAGCTATCAGGGGTGTTGTGGAATTCAAGACAGATTTGCGTAGTTGTCAGAATTGCAAACCAATTCTGATTTTGAATGGTGTCACAGAATCTGATTGGATTTGCGTCTTTTCGAACATATGCAAAATCAATATTTGAATCAGCTGTCTACTAATGTGACAAAATTTTTAAATGAATAAATTATGAATTTTATATATTTGAAATGCTGAATGAAGTCTACTAAAGTTTACAATGAGTTCCGCTATTTTAGCTTTTATTTGGAAATTTGGCTTGCATCTACTTGTATGTTTGTATACATGCTTTCTTTACAGATTTATATCACATTATCGACTGAATAAAGACGCATGTGGGTGTTAAATTATGTTTGTTACGTTTTGTAAATTCCCTTAAAATATCTTGATTTTTTCCATAAACTCGATAATTATGACATTTTTTGTTTTATTCTTATGTTTTCCCCTATAGAAATTACGATAAATTAAATCGAAACAATAATATAAATTATTTTCTTAACTAACATTTCAAATCTGTCAGCAAAAATCCTCTTGCTTTGCTTCTGATAACAAAACCGATAAAATTGGTTTCCGTGACACCCAAAACCGATACAATTTCTGTTTCGAACGTCAAACCAATAGTATCTGAATTCATGACACCTACTACATTTTTTTATCAGTTTCAATTCTGATTCCGACAACTATCAGATTCTACAACACACCTGTATATTTGACAGCGCTTTGTTGGCGTTTGACATGTATTTTTTAAGCATTTTTATCATGGATTTGAGAGCGTTCAAGGCCTTCCTTAGCCATAGAAGCTTTCAATGTATATCTTGCCACAATAAAGCAAATACAGATAATAAGCATTAGGCCAGTACCTAAAAAATTGTTTAATCGAATAGTTTAGCTAATAAAGATAATGCTTCGTATTCGTCAGATTGCGTAAAGTGTGCAAACAAAGCTCCAGCTGAAATTCCAAGACGTCAGAAGCAAAGAAGTATTGTATCATATAGGTACTTTATAAAAATGTTCTTTGATTTTCAGGTTTTTACTTCATCCTCGCTTTTAAATATTTTGAATTTTATTTTGCCAGTAATTATATTACTTAAAAATAATATAGCTGAATATCATATATGTATGTTAATATATATGCCAAAACTAGTTGATTCGAAAAAGAAGCCAAAGTTTCAAAATACGAAGTACAAGCTGTGTGTGCGTTTGTGTCTTTATTATGTGTGTTTGCCGGAAAACTAAACAAAAATAATGACTATATGTTTACAACATTTTAAAACATGAATGTTTATTATTGCAGTATATATACCTATATATATATATATCTATACAAAGAAAATTGATGTATTTACTACAAACAAAATGAGTAATTTAAACTCTATTGTATGAATTTCATTAAAATATACAAGAAATATATAGGTAAACTATTGACAAATATATACTTTAGTCAAGCAGCAGATAAAACTGACTTTGTATTCTTACCTCTTCTAACTCTATTAAGGAATGTTGCTTACGAATATATGTTCCTGAATCTTCGAAAAACTAGAACAATCCCAAATACGCTTTGTCAATAATTTCCTCTGCAAGATAGCATGAGGTTATTCGACATTCCTGATTATTTTCTTTCGCAGTGAGACCAATACAAGTACAACATTTCGGTATTATTAATTCAAATGGTGAACCGTTTGTAGTTAATTAAAATCTTTAACATCTAACATATAAAATTCTCATGTCACGGTGTTTGTTGCCAAACTGCTTTGAAACGGTTGGGGGGATTTCGATGAAATTTGGTGTGCTTATACCCCTAAATGTCAAGGGTGGTCCACCCCAAATATAAATTTTTTAATTTTTTTGGACAAAATTTTTGTTACACTTAAAATTTTCACAGTTATATCGTATCAACTCCTAATTTTTAATCACGATTTGTGTATTATTCTGTCCCATCCATAGATCCACAAAGTGGCAATCAAATATAATAATTGTAGTTAATTTTATTCTTACAGTGAATTTAACATTATTTCTTTGTGCATCTCGAAAGTAGCTATCGCCTATTTTTCACGAACAAAACAGCGCTTGATCATGTAATAATTCCACTAAAAACTATGCTCTCCGAAGTTTTAATTGTATTACCGTGCAGATGCTTTTGGTTATTTGCTATTTTACATGGGCTCAATCGAAAAGATTGATACCTCGCAAGCAAGACACACCAATTAGCGCATGCCTCGGTCTATCTAATCAAATAATTTGGGTGTATACACAGTCAATCCAGACAGACTGAGTGCTTTTATCTGAGACTGTTATTGGTTATTGTCACCAAACCATGCTCATTTCAAGATATATGTAAAGTAAATGAACAACAGTATCCAACGTNAGTCGGTCAGAGGATCAACTCACTACCGATCTCACCCTTAACGAACGCCGTTTACAACTTAAGACACTAAGACTAGCCAGAGGATCGACCCACTGCTGACTGTCCAAGCTGACTGACTGCTGATGGGCCTGCTTGCTTTAGGATGGCGTGTGTTGCTAGAAGTGGCGTGGTTTTCCCGTTGCAGCCCAATACTTGTTGTGTTGTTTACGTGGCGTGGTTTCACCGTTGTGTATGAGTACTTGCTATGTCTTCCTCTGTATGTCTTGTTTTTCCTTCTTCTTGTATACTTGCAGTGTTGTATTTGTTTAACAGGGTGCGTCTTCATATGCTGTGTGCGCTAAATTCCGAATGGATATATAACACTATTTTTATTTTATTTTAAGTTTTTTTTTCTTTCTCCTCTTTGTTTTCTATTACAATTATCTTTCTTCAATTACATTAAGTTATAAATTTGTAATTCTCCTTTTTTTCTCTAGTCGAGTTTTGCAGCTGTTGTTTTCGTTGTTGTTGGCTTCATTCGAATGTGTACGCCCCACCGATACATGGTCACTTGGCCGTTTGCGTCGGCAATGGATATTTTTATGCCTTCCGGTGGAAGTTGTACCTAAGCAGATGGTTGTAGTAAGGGTGGTGACTCGATTACTTCTGCGTCATTGGTCGTGGTTGTGTCTTGATGGTGTCTGAAGGTAGCTAACATGTGAGCGCGTTTCTCTGCTACCATCTTTGCCGTGAAAGGCGCGGAGATGCATCCGGGTACTCCTTCACCTCGTCCTACATAGCGCATAACTCGTTCCATCGTTTCCAGTACGTAAATGATGCAATAGTCTGTATTTTCTTGCTGTGGCACATCTAAAAGGAGTTCCCGGAAATCGAATTTTTCCTGGCCGTACCTCTCCTTGTACTCCCACTGGAGGAATTCGCGGCAGGCAGTAGTTGCATGGGTGATCCTATCCCTCATTTATAAATCTGCTGTTCATATCTGGTGTGGTTGGAAACACACTGTGTCGGTAACGTGATGCGTAAGCTCGCGATTGGACAGGGCGAGCACGTACCAGTGATGAGCGGTGTTGTGTGGTGCCAGAACTGCACGCTGTCCGATGATGTCGATGTTTCGGATCCAGCGGTGAATGCGGCGGAAATTTTTTCCATGTCCTCCTGGTTGGTTCAACTGCTAGGGGCTGAGTATCGTGCCTTTCAGGCCAAATTCGGTCTCCATATGCTGCGCCCAGGCGTCAATCACTGTGTATGTTAACCAGGATCCATCTTCCAGGGAGAGTAAGTCCCCTCGATACAGGGAGACTCGACCTTGTCACGATGGGAATGTTAGTTCCACCTTCTCCCTCTTAGGTTCGGTATTCTCTTGGTCTGAAGAGAGTTCGACCACCGGTGATTGTCGTGGTACTGTGGCATCGTCTGAGCTAGATGTATTGTTACTAGTCTTGCTGCTGTCATTTGATGCTCTTCTACTGGTCGGACTTCTGTGGGTTTCTTCATAATTTGGTTCTATTACTTCCTTGACAGCCACTCTGCCGACGATACATGACGTCGTGACCGGGTTGGTTCTCAACGAGGCTGCAGTCCAGGACGATCTACGGCTCGTGACTACGTGGGCCGCAAAAGTGCGTCTCATGGCGGCGTGTATTGTTCGTGCTTCACTTGCACTTGTAGTGGGTTTGTGGTCGGTTAGTTATGTGGTGGTGTTGGCGACTTTGGATACGTTGGCAGTGCTAGCGTTGGCTTCGAATGCCGCTATCGCGACGTCGTTATTCATATTTTTTTATTTTTTTATCCTGAAATGGCCGGTAAGTTTTGCCTTGCTGACAGCTCGCGGTTGAATGAATGTGACCGTCTCGATTGGTCATCAAATTTGCTCATATAAATATTTTGTTATTCTTATTTTTATATGGTACGGTTTCAATTCGCTGATGTTCGCCGTATTCTCCTTTCCACCGTCAATTTTTAGATATTGGCGTACTTCTTTCACGCTAGTTGGGGGCTTCAGGTCCTGGATTGCTGCTACTTTCTTGGTGTCGGTGTGGATGCCTTTGTCACTTATCACGTGACCTAAATACCGGAGTTCCTTTCTAAAAAACTCGCATTTCTCATGATCGATTCGAAGGTTGGCCTGTTGTAATCTCTGTAGTACCTTTCGTAAATTCTGTGTGCGTTCCTCGAATGTAGAGCCTATGACGATTATGTCGTCGAGGTAGGTGAAGGCGTGTGGTTGCATCTCAGGGCCTATGACCTGATCGAGTACCCTCTGGAACGTCACATGTGCCGAATGTAAGCCGAACGGCATGACGCGCCATTGGAATAGGCCACACCCAGGTACGGTGAAGGCTGTGTATGTGCGGCTGCCTTGCTCCAAAGGCATCGGCCAGTAGCCGTTTTTAAAGTCCAGACTACTAATATAGCTTGCTTGTCGTAACTTGTCTAATATGTGTTGTATCCTAGGTAAGGGGTATGCGTCGGGCCCTAATCGGGCGTTGAGTTGCCGATAATCCACGCATAAACGCCACTTACCGTTCTTCTTCCGGGCCGCTACAATTAACGCGCTGTGTGGGCTGTGAGACGGTTCGATACATCCTTTGATAGCAGCTCATCGATCTCGTCGTTGATAATAGCTTGCATCGGTGGATTTCGTGTAAAATATCGTTGCTTGATGGGGCGGTTGTCGGTCATCGTGTTTTATGCTCTGCGCCACTGTCGTCACTTCACTCATGGTTTCCAATTTTCGAAGCTCCTCCGCTAAGAAGTCGCGTATGCGGGCCGCTTCGTTTCTTTGGTTGGCGGTCGATCTAGGCTCGACTCTATTAATCCTCCTGCACTTTAGCTTACGTGTTTTGTCGCGCTTCGTCCTACTGGGTTTTAGAAGCTATTTGGTGTAGTTGGGGTTGCGTTGTCTACACTTTCTGATGGCATGGTGTAGAAGGCCGCTGAATGCTGAGCATCTGCCGCTGTCAGCACTACCTGGTGACCTCCGCAGGACAGCCTAGGGTTCCCCCAGTGTATCTAATCCGAGTATGACGTCATCAATCGCACCGGGCATAACATGTAACACTGCTTGGAGCGATGACTGTCCGAGTTAGATGCTGGTTTCTACGGCATCGTAAATCTTGCTGATGGTGCCGTCGGCCATTTGTATTTGCTTGGCTACGGTTACCTTCTTACAATTCCCGGTTGCGTCCATCCATTTCCTGCATGTGTTTCCAGGCATAAAAGCTTGGCTCGAGAGTGGTTGTTGGTGATGCGCGTGTACCGTCGTATTGTGTTGGGAAACCGTGTGACGCTGTTGTGAACGTGCTGATGCGGATTGTACGGGTGGGGGTCGCGTAGTATTTCTTACCTCGTGGTCACCTATGATGTGTCTCGTCATCTCACGGCGTCGATGTCCTTCATGGATTCCTTCGTACTCTTCTGGAAGTGTGATAAGTTCGGCTAGTGTCTCGAAATCACGACGCCGAATGTAGAGTAGATAATCGGTGTGACTATTTCGAAAGATTCTTTTCAATCGCTGCTCCTGGTTATATCCAGCGTGCTTCATTAGGTTCTGCATAGCGAGAACGTAGTCTTTGTATTTTTCCCGCACGTGTTGTCTTCGTTGCCGTATGTCATCTTCGAGGCGTTCGAAGTAACGTGCTGGTAAGAAGAAACGCAAAAAATCTCTTTTGAATTTAGTCCAACTCCTCCAATGATCGTTGTTGTTGCGATACCATTGGAGAGCGGTACCGCACAGTAACTCGGGCATGGTTCTTGGAAGAAGGTCTGTGTCTATCATGTATACTTCGGAGAGCTCTTCCAGTCGTTCGATGAACGCTAATGGGTCTCTCGAGCCGTCGTATTTTATGGACCACTTCCTCACCCGGTCGATGATACGTGCGAATGTCACCATCTGGTTCTGTTGAAGTGACATGCCGTTATTCGTCCTGATTATTGGTGGCGGCTGTCGTCGTGATGATTTCACGAAAATATCCGCGGTTCCTCTGCCTTGATCTGGTGGAAGTGGTGTCTTCTGATCGCCTTCGTCTTGTGAAGCGAACTCATTTGCTTTGTATGCAGCTTCCATTTTTTAAATCTTTCCGTGTATTTCGGA